ACACACACACACACAGTCACACGGAGACATGGCTGAGGGCTCAGGCCCTGGCTCCTGTGGGGTACTGAGGAGCAAGCATGGAACGGTGCTCGGGTGAGAGCTGCTGGTGAGAATCGACAGCATGTCTGGGGAAGAAAAGGCTGAGAGGGAGACACTTAAGAACAAGCTTCTGGTGGGAAAATATGGGAGACTATTGAGAAGGGACACGAAGGAAGAAAGGAAAATTGTTAGAGCTGCACTTTCTCCGTTTCTGAAGTGAACTTCTGCTCACAGCAGGTGAGCGCAGGCGCCCTCCCACATTGAGATTTCCTCCCCTGCCCTGCAGTCTGTTAAGTAAACGGAGACTTTATAGTGAGAAAGGAGCCTTTCTCTATTTTGGCTATGGGTTGTTATTTTTAAAGCTTCACCCTCCAAACATTTCCCCCTATCCTTGTTTATTTTTTCACTAGAAAGAAAATGTGCTACTTTAGGGACACCTGGGTGGCTCAGCCGTTAAGCGTCTGCCTTTGGCTCAGGTCATGATCCCAGGGTCCTGGGATTGAGTCCCACATCAGGGCTCCCTGCTTGGTGGGGAGCCTGCTTCTCCCTCTCCCTCTGCTGCTCCCCCTGCTTGTGCTCTCTCTCTCTCTCAAATAAATAAATAAAATCTTTAAAAAAAATGTGCTACTTTAAAAAAAATTGACTTCAGCATAAGAAACACTCCCTTGTAGTATGCTGTCCCTGTTTCGGGCCAAGTCACCCTTCGGTGTGACCACCGTCTCATCCCCCTGTTGAGCAACGTAGATTTTAAAGATTCCCCTCTGTTTCTAGAGAGCTTCCATGAACCCGGATGCCACAGTCAAAGCAGAATGCACTGTGGCAATTGTTTTCTGGATGCTTTAGGTAAAAAGGCTAACCTCTCCCTGAACAGCTGTGGCTCTATTTATCCAAATATCTCATAGTGGTAGTTATATATCGCTGCTACTAGGTACCACCTGCCATTCTGAACACTTTACATAAAATCTCATTTACCTTTATCTGAGATGTCTATGGCAATTGCTTCAATATTGATGTGGGTTAAATGGGAGGCTGACGTTAGTTGTAAGACTTTCTTTCTATATCTTTTCTGGGGGAATGTAGCCCATGGCCTTGCACCTGTCTTTTCTCTGTCTGTCTTGCCCCTGTTTTGGATCTCTTTATGAACAAGTCCCATGTCTTTCTTCTCTGTACCTTTATGTCTAGCACAAGGCCTGGTTTGTAAGGGGCAAGTATGAATTAAAGTAGGGTGAAAAAGGAAGACAAAGGAAATCATGTTGGAATTCTTTCCTCTGGTCATAGATAGTATGGTTTGACTTAATAGTTTTGAGTCCTAATTCCCTCACTTTTGACAACAAAAAAAATAATACTACCTTAAAGGACAGTTGTAAGAAAGAAATGGATTTATTAAAAGTACTAGCATATTTCAAATCAGTGTGGAAAAGATGGTTTATTCCATAAATGGTGTTAAGACTACCTAGCTGCCTGGGACAAATACAAAGCTGAGTCCTGTCTCACATGCCACCCAAAGTAAATCCTGAAAAGCAGGTACACAGCTTTGGGAATACACTAAAGTCCATTGAATTGTACACTCCAGATGAGTAAATTATATGATATGTGACCATATTTCAGTACAGTTGTTATAAAAAAATAAATCCCAGAAAGATTTAAGTATAAAAACATGGAACTGTACTAGAGGGAAACATAAGATACTTGTTTATATGTTACTGAAAGGGAAATGACCTTTTCAAGCAAGACATACTATTCTAAACAACAAGTTTGGCAAATCGATTATGTAATAATTAAATATTTTGCAGAAGAAAACACCAGAAAAAAAAAAAAGAAAAACATGACAAGCCAGTAGAAAAGCATTGAATGCACATAGAACAAAGGGCTAATTACTACAATATATAAAGAACAGTTAAGAATCAACGTGAAAATGACTAATAACCCAACAGAAAAATATCAGCAAAGGGTAAGAGCAGGTCTCTTAGAGAAAGAGTTTATACCAATATATTCTTCTACCAAAAGTCTATTGTACAAGCTCTTGGGAAGCAATGTTTGAACTATTTATCAATATTAAAAATGCCTTAAGTCCTCTAATCTAGGTATTGCATGAAATGTTTGTGACAGTAAAATACTTGAAGTCAAACGAAATGTCAGCCAACAGAGAAATGGTTCAAAAAATTTTAGCACTTTGAACATGTTCAGTGCAAAACTTATGCTACTAGAAACAGTTATGCAGGGGCGCCTGGATGGCTCAGTCATTAAACGTCTGCCTTTGGCTCAGGTCATGATCCCAGGGTCCTGGGATAGAGCCCCGCATCGGGCTCCCTGCTCCACGGGAAGCCTGCTTCTCCCTCCCCCACTCCCCCTGCTTGTGTTCCCTCTCTCGCTGTGTCTCTCTCTGTCAAATAAATAAAATCTTTAAAAAAAATAAAAAAAAAAGAAACAGTTATGCAGCTGTTAAGAACCATTGATGAACTCCAAAATACATTAATCAAAAATAAAACAAAGTGCTGGACAATGTGCTTACTGTTCATGTTTTAAATTATTATATTTTTCACAAATATATGTTTGCATATGCATAGGATATTTTAAATTCTTCTTGTCCCCCTCAAAGACAACATGCCCCCAATTCAGCTTGTGAACGAAAAGATGAATGAGTTCCTTTCACGTGTATTATCTCATTGAACTTCTGCAACAACCCTATGGAAAAGATACCAATAGTTTCTTTTTTAAATATAACATGTTATGAACCTTCGGGTTTGCTTATTTAACAGTTGCAACTACTAATGTTAAATCCTCGATGCAGAAGCTCTGTTGCACAGGGAGAAATCCTAAATTTCTTACAATGTGGTACATCCTTTATCACTTGACCTTTTTCTCCTTTCCCAGGTTAATCTCTTGTCTCTTTTGTACCTCTAGCACACCACTCCGTGTCCTTCACTCTGCTCTTCCTCTCCATGTCTAAGACCCTCTTCCAATGATGCCTTCGCACTCCTGCTCGATGAAAGCCTGCATTTCTTAAACTGTCAACTCGAATGCCACCTACTAGGCGAATCCTTACCTGTCATCCTTGGCAACACAAATGGTTCCAGCCCAGCCACAGTCCTTCATGATACTTCCTCCTGTATTTCAAAAGCACTTTATACAAGTCTGTTAAACCAGATTATATTATTTCCAGGTTTTGAGCATATTGAGAGTAGAGGCTCTGTTTTTATTCCCATAGTGACCACATGCCTAGAATATATAGCAGATCAATAAATACTTAGACAAATCATTTAGCTGAATCTTAATCATTTTTGATTACCCATAGGTTGAAGAACTCTTTATTTTTTCAGTTTTTACTTTAATTCCAGTTAGCTTGCAGTGTTAAATTAGTTTCAGGTGTACAATATAGTGATTCAACAATTGCATCCATCACCTGGTGCTCATCACAGCAAATGCCCTCCTTAATCCCCATTACCTATTTCCTCCATTCCCCCACCCACCTCCCTGCTGGTAACCCATCAGGTTCTCAGTAGTTAAGAGTCTGTTTCTTGGTTTGCCTCTTTTTCTCCTCTTTGCTCATTTGTTTTGTTTCTTAAATTCCACATATTAATGGAATCGTATAGTAGTTGTCTTTCTCTGACTGACTTATTTCACTTAACATTATATTCTTTAGCTCCATCTATGTTGTTGCAAATGTCTAGATTCCATTCTTTTTATGGCTGAATAGTACTCATTGTATAACTGTACCACATGTTCTTTATCCATTCATTGATCAACGGACACTTGGGCTGCTTCCATATCTTGGCTATTGTAAAAAATACTGCTATAAACATAGGGGTGCATGTATCCCTTTGAATTTGTGTTTTTGAATTCTTTGGGTAAATACCCAGTAGTGCAACTGCTGAATCATAGGGTAGTTCTATTTTTAACTTTTTGAAGAACCTCCATACTGTCTCCACAGTGGCTGTATCAGTCTGTATTCCCACCAAGAGTGCATAAGTGTTCCTTTTTCTCCACATCCTCACCAAAACCTATTGTTGTGTTGTTGATTTTAGCCATTCTGACAGGTGTGAGGTGATAGCTCATTGTGGTTTGGATTTGCATTTCCCTGATGATCAGTGATGTCAAGCATCTTTTCATGTGTCTGTTGGCCAGCTATATGTCTTCTTTGGAGAAATGGCTGTTCATGTCTTCTACCCATTTTTTTAATTGGGTTATTTGTTTTTTGGTTGTTGAATGGATATAAGTTCTTTATATATTTTGAATACTAACCCTTTATTGAATATGTCATTTGCAAATATCTTCTCCCTTTCAGTAGGTTGTCTTTAGTTTTGTTAATTGTTTCCTTCATTGTGCAGAAGCTTTTTATTTAGATGTAGTCCCAATAGTTTATTTTTGCTTTTGTTTTCCTTGTGTCAGGGGACCTATCTAGAAAAAAGTTGCTATGGCTAATGTCAGAAAAGGTACTGCCTGTGTTCTCTTTGAAGAACTTGGTATTTAACATGGCAGATTTGGAGATTGAACAATATGTCTCTTCTAAGAATTTGAAATGAAATGTTTTACTGATGGAAAAGCTTTTTATTTTTATTTTTTTTGTTTTGCCTTCTAGAATTCAAAGAATATTCATGTTCCATGAAGAGAATGGGCTGCAGTTTTTTGTAACAGATTTGGAGCCAGTAGATTTTTATGAATGTGAACCTTATCATGGGTCTGAAAGCTTTCTATGCTTTCTTTTTTTAAAAGATTTATTTATTTGAGAGAGAGAGAATGAGCAAGCACATGAGCAGGGGGAGGGGCAGAAGGGAGAGAGAATTTCAAACAGACTCCCCACCAAGCCTGGAGCCCAATGCAGGACTCGATCTCAAAACACTGAGATCATGACCTGAGCCAAAATCAAGAGTCACACTCAACCAACTGAGCCACCCCGGAACCCCAGCTTTTCTGTGCTTTAATACTATTTTTTTTTCTTTTTATTTTCTGTGTTTTCATAGGAACCAGGGAAAGTGTGTAGAGGGCATGGTGGAGATCTTTGACATGTTGCTGGCTACGTCATCTCGGTTTCGTATGATGAATCTCCAGGGAGAGGAGTTCGTGTGCCTCAAATCCATCATTTTGCTTAATTCTGGTGAGTTGATAACACGGGGGAATTTACTGCTGGGTTACTGGAAGAAAGATTTATGTGTATTTTCAGCCAAATATAAGCTGCCTATTGCAAAGGCATAATCATAAATTGAAAGAAACAACTGATGCACATTTAAAATAACCTGTTGTCATTGTAGACTGCTTATAGAGGTGGAATCCGCACTGGTCAGATACAACGAATGGAGGAAACAAATTGGACACTGAACCAAATGGCTTTTTTGTTGAAATATTTGCATCATTTTACAGATATTTGGGATGTTTTCATTTTATTAATTTTATTTATTTAGTTTGAGGACTAAAGTACAGGTATATAGGCATCGATTGTTGATAGTTGTATATGGCAGAGAGTAAGTAGACCAAATGACCAACATCAAGTTCAAGATCATAAGGAAAGAGACTTATTTGAGACTGATCATGTTTCTGGCCAAAACTGATTAGGCGACAAATATAATTGGCTCAGAGATAGAAACACATGGCCCTAAAACTGAGGCACACACAGGGCAGGTCCAGCTGAAGAGCAGCTTTCATGTGGTCTAAGGGGTCTAATTCAACTGTTCCCTCCTAGCGACTGATTTGAGAAAGCCTAGCTGAGAGTGGCATCTGGTTAGGGGTTTGTTTTGTTTTGTTTGCTGTAAAGGTCACCTATTGTGTAAAGAGGTTGTCCAGGTCACCCAGATGGAAACTATGGCTCAACTGAATTAGCGCCGTGTTCCTTCTGGCCCTCAGTATTTGGATCTGGAGACTAGATATCCAGTCTGTGGGACCCGAAGCTCAACAACTGGGTGTCAGCCGCACAGTAGATGCCTTTAGCCTGGATCTTGACCCCTGGTCCAGGCCCTACTTCATGCCTCAGACCACATTCTTACATAGAAACTGTAGCTATTTTGAAGCCCTACGCCAGATTTAGAATCAGATAGGGTCTCCAATTTCCCTGATGGTTGAACTAGAGTTTGTATTGATCGCATGTTGGGAGAATCGGCCCTTTCTTCTCTTTTCAGATGTCTTGTCTCTTCCCGAAGAACACCACCCCCTTCGTACCTCCTCTAGCCGTTTTCCACTTCCCTTCCCCACCAGTGCTAATAACCTATATCACTTCATGGTTAGACAGTAATCATTCTCACTTATCAACTAATAAATGGAAATCTGTACTATTCCAGTAGGCAAGGACTGAACTACAGAACAGTTACCTGAAAAACGATGTGATCCACTCATTCATGTTTCTGGTTCCACTCACATGCATTGTGCTTTTCATTTCAGTCATTTGTCCGGTACACTGAAGGGTTCACATTCCACAATGGCTCTTTATTGGAAGAGACTTCTGGGAGCAATGCCACTTAGCTGCACCGTGCCAGGTCCTGAACCTGGTCCTTCTTCAGTGGAGGGCTGGCGCATGCTGACGGCTTTCCTGGGGGCAATCCGTTAACTTCAGGGAAAGTGGGCCTATCAGGTGCTGGGACTTTTTCCCCACTTTTTCTAGGAAATAACACTCCAAACAGGAAGTGAAAATTCACCAGAGTTATATAATCCACAAAAGTAGATGCTCTGATCTTGGTCACCAAAAATATTCCTTCAAATCTGTGTAGCCTCTTCCTACATTATTGTTCTGTTCCTATGACAGGGTAGGGTTTTTAGAATATTATATAAATAAAGGGCAAGACTTGTGCCATCAAAATATTGAATGCATAGACCCAGGATTTTTTAAGTCCCAGAGGAAAAAAATTTCAGCCCTCACAAGAAAGTCTTTTGTGAAAGACTGGCCCCAGAATCTCAAAACATATTTCCCACTGCCAGATCGGACCAACACCTGACTCCTCCTCACACTGGTTAAACTTCCCTGCGCTATCCTTGTTCTTCTACTTCTTTCTCAGGAGCTTCTGTGAGCTTCCTTCCTTGCATTTGAAGGGTTGGAACACTATTTTGGAAACACAAGGCACTGTAGTCTGACAGAGTTTACAGTTGTGCTCATGAGAGAGATATCAGGGTGGCAACACATCTTTTCTGTCAAGGACGGCGCTGCTGGCTCACAGGCAGTAACAAAACAGAAGCTTCCTCCCAACCTGTAAAAAGTGAAACCACTCTTTTCAATCCAGAAGTGAGCTATGTTTGCAAAAGCGGGTCTGCTGCTGAGTACAGCTCTTAGTGTCTCATATTGTTCCTGAAAAACAGAATCAGAGAGGACAAGACTGAAACACAATGGTGTGGTGCTGGAAGACTTTTCAGAGTAAAAAAGCAGTCCATCCTAGGAGGGTTACTACAATCCCAACAATCTTTGCCCACAACTGAAAGTATGGATTTTTCTAAAAACCCAACCAATTCATGACTCTGATCCAGGGCAGTGCTTCACCTGTCATGAGATAAAGAACAAAGTGACAGTCATTCCAGGAATCTCTGACAGAAGCCAAGTTGGAAAGGGTTCAGGAAGCCTGAGCTGGAAGATGCTTTTCTGATTCCTGGGAAACAAGACCTCAGTGTATGGGGGAGCTTTGGGTTGTGTGCTGTGTTCCGGTCACCAAAGTCTGAGAGGGTGTGTTTATGTTGGCCTTGACTTCGAGGCAGAGGCACAAGGGTAGTTGAAATGTTGTTTTGTGGACTACTAGGAGTGACTTTCTGCAGTTCTCAAGAGGTCTCCCAAATGCTGAAATTTCCATGGGAAGCCCGTTCACAGCTGTTTGGGAATGGGAGATATTCATCATGATTTATGCCTCATTAAGAATAATTCATTACATTGCTTACAAAAGCCTAGAATCATTCATAGGACAAACACTATTTTTCTGCTCTCCACTAAAGGACAGAGGCATTCCTGGTTAATCCAGAGATGCTTCAGCAAAATCAATGCCAGCTTCTAGGCATTCCGAGAACTAGCTGGACAGAACTCAAGCAAAGGAAATGTGAGCAGAGCAGATGAGCTCAGAGCAAAAGGCCCAGAGGGACCAGTGACAGGAGGCAGGGCTTGTGCTGCAGAAGCGGACCAGGGGGCCAGGAAGGGGTTATCTGTGCTTGTTTACCCTATTCCCCCTACCCAGTGGGACTTCAGTCCTTCTTGATAATTCCAGTATTTCTAATTCTTCCAGGCCCAACTCTGACCTCATCTCATTCAGGAAATCTTGCCACCACCCAGGTCCATAATGAACTTCCCTTCGCTAGACTATTTTAGTTCTTAGAGCCAGTATCGTTCAATCTAGCATTTGGTCAATTGGTTGACTGATTTCATTCATTTGTTCAATAATTCAGAAACTTTGTGCCAAATACACAAAAATGAATGACATGGTTTTTGGTTTTGTGTTTTCAGTTTTTTAATTTAACCTTGATGTCTTCTTCATGCACGTACATCCTGATTTCCCTATAAACTATTTAAACTTTTTTTTTTTTACAGTTCTCACAGTCTTTAACCTGTGAACTGTCAAGAGGTACCACGCCGTTCAGTCCTTCAGTAGATGTTTATTTGCTGGACATGACCAGGAGGTTGTGGAAAGTTCCCATTCGTCATATGCTCTTTCTACCATTATGAAACATATCATCCTTTTCAGATCCAGATAATATCAAACTATTAAATGAGAAAAAATAATGCCCATCTCCTTGGGTTACTGTGAACTAAAAGGAAAATTGTATGTAAGCTGTCGAACGCGGTTTATGGAACACAGTAGTCCTTCAATCAGTGAATTGAAGCTGTCACCATCATTCGGGAATCTCTGGTTCAAAAGGAGCCAGTCCAGGGGTGCCTGGGTGTCTCAGTCGGTTAAGCATGGGAGTGGAACCTGCATAAGATTCTGTCTCTCCCTCTCCCCTGCTCCTCCCCGCGCACCCCCTCCCCTGCCCCCACTGGCTCGCTCACTCTCTTTCTCACCACAAAAAAAAAAAAAAAAAGCCAGTCCATACCTTCTTTTATTATTATTATTTAAAAGATTTATTTATTTATTTTAGAGATCTCACAACCCTGAGACCATGACCTGAACTGAAACCAAGAGTTGGATGCTCAAACCGACTGAGCCACCCAGGCACCCCATATACCTAAGTACTTTAGTTTAAAGGTTTCCTGCTAGGCTTAAAAAATACACAGGGACTGAAGGATAATAATAATAATAGAGACTGTGACTCTTCCCCTGAGACTTGGTTAATTATGCTGTTTAATTGTAATGAGAGAAATTTTAGAGCAAGATTGGTCTCATGGATAATAATCGATTGTTAATTGAACCGTAATGTTGGCCAACCTTAATGAAAACGCTGTGGTAAGTGGCAGAGAAATCCCAGTGTGCTCACTCATCCATTCACTGTGTTTCTTCCCATCCCCCTCTCCCCCACATGCCCCTCAGAGTCCACTCCCATTTAGATCACTACCCTTTTAGTGGGTGTTTTTCAAGACTCAGAAAAATTCACCCATCAAAGCTTAATATGTATAAGTCTACAATCTCTAATAAATGTTTGGTTTGGCCTTCAAAATTCAACTTAATAATTATTTCTGCACCTTTTCTGAACGCGTTACTGACCACAGTTTGTTATATTCCCCAGTAATTCCAAAGAGTGTTGCTTCCCTCACTCCCTGGTGACTTGATCCACCTGGGTCCCTGGAGAGCCCATCAGATGCCAGACTCCAGCTCCCCTGTCCCCTGTTTAACAGTAGATCCCCTTTCCTCTCCCGACTCACAACTCCAGGTACCCAGAAGTCTTCCCTGGGCCTGCTGGATCCCTGTCTCCCTCCTGAAATGTCTTACTCTATAGAAATGTTGTTCTCATGATTACCTGTTTATCGCAACTGCCTTCAGACAACATTTCTCTTTCAGCTGGTGGAGTAAGAAAGAGGAGTAAAGGTAAAAAACTGTAGGGCGAAAAGGAAAACAAAATGCTAGAAAGAATTATGGCCTCATTTCTAAAATGTGTACCCTGGTGTTCATTTAAGAAAAAAAGGGATATGGAATGTTGCCCAGGAGCATTTATATTAAACATAAACCTAAAAATGGTGCCAGCTCTTGTCTGTCATTTGGTTTT